TATAGACCTGAAACTACTAGCATGGAATTTGGGGTGTTAAATATTCATTACTATCTTTATTCTCATTCTTTTTTTCCTAAATGATGATAAAAACATTCACATGCACGTGCATTAGGAATTTTTAATTTTTGATTATTTTGTTTTATAAATTTTAAATTTAATCTTAATCTTATCTAGAGGAGAGGAGAATGATAACTCTAGGGAAAACAAGGGAAGTACTCCTAGCAATTCTAGAATCCATGACCTAAAGGAATATGAGGGAACAAAGATGAGTAGCTTAATCAATATTTCAAATGTTCATACTCTCTATCTATATCTTTTTAATATTTAAAGTTAGGACTTATAGAACATATATGGCTGAAATTAAAAATTTAATATAAAAATTTTGGGTAAACTACACATTTAGAATTTATACTATTACTTTTGTTACATATTGATATCCAAACTATATTTTTTTTAAATAATATCTAACATTTAGTTTAGGTTTCAATTTGATATTGCATTATTAAAATTAACAAAATACTAATGTGGCATTTTTTTTCATTTTTCATTTTTTCAATGATAATGTGGAATTTTCTTATGGTGACACGTCAACATCACTGTTAAGATTTTGATTATGAGATGTTTAAATGAAATTTAAACTAAACATTAGATATGATTAATAAAAAAGGAAAATCTAAGCACTAAAATGGAATAAAAGTAATACATTAGGTCCAAACGTGTAGTTTACCCTAAAAGTTTTTACCTTTTTTTAGGATGGAATATTCGATATTTTAGTATGATGGAGTCCCTCCTCGTTAAAAATGTTTTTAAAAATTATTATTTTAAAGAGATTAAGTACTTTTAATATGGATGATTTTACCTAAAAATCACTGTGACATGTTTTAATTACCTGTCAAACATTTTTTCAGAAAATGTTACCGATCTAACATCATTTGCATCATCCGCGCCTTACCATGACGTGGCACCAACTCGGATAAATCGTTGAAGATGATTCGCGCCTTTTTGGGATGAGTGTTAGATCTGTAAAATTTTATGAAATGGTGTTTGACAAGTAATTAATTTCTGTTAGGGTGATTTTTGTATAAAAACACCATAAAATATTAAAGAAGTAGCTTTGTTTTTTTTTTGAAAAATATAAAATTTAATTAGCGATCATTTTCATTTTTCATCTTCTGGAAAATTAGGTCCTATGACCATAAAGAAAATCACTTGCCTTTCACACTTATCATTTTCTTCAAATAATTATTTTTTCTTTTTCTAATAATTTTTTTATTAAATCCTGAAAAAAAAGATAATAAAATACATTTTTTTCTTCAATAATAATAATAATAATAATGAAAAAATAGTGTCAATAAACTTTGTCTCGTCTCTTGATTTTGTCATTATTTAACTAACATTTTTATGTGAATACTTTTTTAAATTTAATTGAGCTTCAAATTTATTCTTAAATACGTTGAGATAATATATATATCGAGTATAAAATTCGTATAAATATATATTTTAATATGTTTCTGATACGATGATTGAATGGATAATTAGTGAATTCTTATAAACCACTGATGGTTTAAGAGGATACGCTACTTAAGGGGATGATGCACATTTAAATGTTCACTAACATTAACTCATTAAATTGTTATTAATGTGTGATGCTAGTAAAAGAATACAAATTAATGACTCAATTATCAAAATAAAATGAATTAAAAATATAATAATAATAATAAACAATTTTAAAAAAATCAATGATGAAAAACGCAATTATCAAGGTCAGCACTGGTCTAATATAGGGTAAACATCACTAGTTTATTGGTTAAATAATGGTAAAATCAAGAGACAAAATAAAATTTATTGGCACTATTTTATTATTATTATTATTATTATTATTATTATTATTATTATTATTATTATTATTATTATTATTGAAGAAAAAATGTATTTTATTATCTTATTTTCAAGATTTAATGAAAAATTTTATTAAAAAAATTATTTGAAGAAAATGATAAATGTAAAAGGCACATTATTTTCTTTATGGTTATAAGATTTAATTTTTAAGATAAGAAATGAAAATGATTATCTAATTAAATTTTATATTTTTTTCAAAAAAAACAAAATAAAGCTACTTCCTTAATATTTTTTTTGGTGTTTTTACAAAAAAAAATCATCCTAACAAAAATTAATTATTAAAATTTTATGAATTTAGCATCTATCACAGAAATATGCAGATATCATCCGTGCTTTATTCGAGTTGACGTCATGTCAGGATAAGACACGGATGATGATCAGTGCCTTTCTATAAAGGATACTAGATCATTAAAAAAATTTAAAACGATATCTCATAGATAATTAAAACCTGCCAGTGTGATTTTTTTTTTATGTAAAATCCCCTTTAATATGAATATACACATGTAATTAATGGTCCACTAATGAAATGTATTAATGATCAACTGATGGAACCTTTCCTAATAATTATCACATCTTTTCTATAATTGATTTCTGTACTTCTTTTTACTATTTTTTAATTATATTATATTTTAGATGACACAAAAATGTCAACAACACGTGGATTAGGTATTTTTTATTATTTCGATATTATATCATACTATATTTCATTTTTTATATTTAATTTAACTTAAAACTTATTAATTTGTCTGTTATAATTCTGTTAAATAATATTTTTAAATTATATTATATCAATGAAATATATTTGTCAAGTTAGAATTTTTATAATTCAATTATATAAAAAAATTAACCGATATTGAAAATTGAAAAAAAAATATAACTAATAAAAAATCAATAACTATAATTAATTAATTAATTTGATTTAACCGATATTTTAAAAAGCACGCGTATTACTTTTAAGATAATCATTGATGAAATTATTAGAAGGGTAAAGTATATAAATGGTCACTTAACTATTTAAATTCTTGTATTTAGGTCCCCAAACTTTTAAAACTTACAATACAGTCACCAAACATTTAGTTCGTTTGCAATATGGTCCCGACATAACGGTTGCTTCACTGCCATTAGGGTAAATTATATAAATGGTCATTGAACTTTTAGGCACTTGCATTTAGGTCCCCCCAACTTTTAAAACTTGCAACACAATCATCAATTACATTTTAAATCCTAAATTCCAAAATGCTTCAATTACATTCTAAACCTCAAATTCCAAAAATACTTCAATTACATACCCAACCCCAAATTCATAATCCATTTCAAAATCTACCATAACAAATTGAACTTTAAGCTACAACCTTAAACCCTCAAAATATAACCCTAAATACTAAATTTCCCCGCCAATTAACCCAACATAATCAATAACATTTAGTTCATTTTGGGTCCATAACAATAAGTGATTATGTTGGGTTTAGGATTTAAAAGTTAGATTTAACCAACTATAAGTGAACAATACTCAATTCGATTTGAAAAAATTATTTTTCGACTTGAAATGATTCAAAAAAATTGATACAAATTGACTTTGAGTTGTAATTTCATAAATTCAACATAAAAAATTTTAAGTTAAAATCAAGTTGTAAAATACAACACTAATATCTCAAAATTTTTAGTAATTAGTGGACTAATTTTAAGTTTGAGTTAAGTCCCTTGACTCTATATGATATATGTATATCACATATGAAAAAAATATGAAGAAATATATGTTGTATATGGTTAAGAAACTATTTAATTAGAATCAAATAATGTTATAGTATTATAAATATTTATAATTAAATTTAAACAAAAAATTGAAAATTCAATTCAATTCGACTTGATTTAAATTTTATAAACTCAAAAAAAAAATCTAGTCAACTATTTTATAAACTGAACTGAATTAGAACCAAATAATATTATAATATGATAAATATTTATAATTAAATTTAAATAGAAATTCGAAAATTCAATTCAATTCGACTTGATTTGAATTTTACAAACTCAAATCGAAAAACTTTTGAGTCAACTATTTTATAATCTGAATCGAGTATTTAGGTCCAACATAACTCTAAACCCAACATAATCTCTTGTTGTTCACTTATAGTTGGTTAATTTTTTTTGAAATGGTTATGTTCTGAGGGTTTAGGGTTGTTGTTTCAAGTTTAGTTTGTATTGGCATATTTTGAGAATAGATTATGAATTTGGGGTTGAGCATGTAATTGAAGTATTTTGGAATTTTAGGTTTATAATATAATTGAAGCATTTTGGATTTTGGGGTTTAGAATGTAATTGATGATTGTGTTGTAAGTTTTAAAAGTTGTGGGACCTAAATGCAAGTGCCTGAAAGTTCAGTGACCATTTATATAATTTACTCTAATGGAAGTGAAACGGCCGTTACGTCGGGGATCATATAGCAAACGAACTAAATATTTGGTGATTGTATTGCAAGTTTTAAAATTTGGGGAACTTAAATGCAAGCATCTAAAAAGTTCAGTGACCATTTATATATTTTACCCTTATTAGAATAGTTTATCGTCGTTTAGAGGAACAAGAGGATTCGCGATGGGATTCATTGGACAGACAGATTCTTCAAAGGTAAACATATAGTTTTGGTATTCGTGTATTTAATTTTTAAAATTAAAAATTTGGATTTAACTTTAAAATCGATACAACTTAATTTTTTTAATTTAAATTAGTACAAATTGATTTATTAATTTAAATTGATTTAAAAAGTAAATTCTAATAAACGTTTCTCAAATATTTTATTAGACCAAATTGTGTATTTTATGGATATAAATAAACAGAACATTCGACGATTTATTTGTGAAATGTTATAGAATAGTTGTTTATTAAGTTAAAAAAATGACTAATTTTTTTTTATGTTCATTTAATAAACAAAATTTATTCGGTTCGTTTATGTTCACAAATATATTCGTTTTTTTAAGCCAAATCTTATCGCATCATCAATATGTATGCATAAGTAGAATGTCATTAACAGGTAACCCTCAATCGTCTTAAGCTTATACATTGAACAGCACTCATTTTGTGCAGGGGGAAAAAAGAAAGAAGAAATGAAGAGGTCTCTAGATCGTTCTTCTAATGCTTCCATTGCTTCACCTTCGTCATCATCTTCAACTATACCCGTAATAATATCAGAGAAACCCAAGAGTAAAAGGGTTAGAACACACCAAAACACTCACGAGAAATGTAGCTCGAAAGCTAACTCTGCTAGAAGAAGCTCTGTTTACAGAGGAGTCACCAGGTGCGTAGAATTATGGGTTTTTTGGGGGGTTGATTTTGAATTGCATGTCTGATATTTTGATGTTACAAAAGGCATAGATGGACTGGGAGGTTTGAGGCTCACCTCTGGGACAACTCTTCATTGAATAACATCCAGAGCAAGAAAGGAAAACAGGGTAAGGAATTTTATGGTTCAGTTTCATTTCTGGTCCGTCAGTTCAGATTATTGACTCTGTTTCCTATTTTTATTGCCCTGTTCCATGTGAACGTGCATTTACACATTTGTGGCCTCAGTTTATTTGGGTAAGTCCTCCATCTTTCTAAATAATTCAGTAAATAAATTCACGGGGAAACAAAAAAAAAAGTGAATTGTGCTGATGTGCAGGGGCTTATGATAGCGAGGAAGATGCAGCACGGACCTATGATCTCGCAGCTCTCAAGCATTGGGGCACCCAAACCACTTTGAATTTTCCGGTATTTTTAAACATTTTACTTTTGGATTTGGTGTGTGGAAAAAAGCAAAGGAATTGCGAAAATGATGTGATTATATATATATAAACCAGATAGATCGATATGAGAAAGAGATTGAAGAGATGAAGAAGGTGACGAAGGAAGAGTACTTGGCTTGCCTACGGCGGCAGAGTAGTGGATTCTCGAGGGGAGTCTCGAAATACAGAGGGGTGGCTAGGCATCACCACAATAGTAAATGGGAAGCGCGAATTGGTCGAGTTTTCGGCAACAAATATCTCTATTTAGGAACTTACGGTCAGCTACTATTCCCTATCCCATTCTTCTATCCCCGTAATTCCCTTTTACTCATCATCTCACTCACCTATATTTTCCATCTCGGTTTCATTGTCCAATTCCTTTATTTTCTTAAAATCATATATACCATTATCATGCGTAAGATTATATTTTACTAGAATAGTGAATAACTAAATATATAATTTACCGTAACTTTCATAGATAAAATAATTTTACGAGAGTCTTCCCATGAAACGTGGTTTAAATTATTTAACTAAGAGATTCTTGGGGTAGGTAAATTTTAAATGTCTGTCCAGTTCAGTACGCCCGTTGGAGAAAGACATTTACCAAGCTGGTCAAAAATATACTAAAAATAGGGCTATACAAAATACACGTGTGTTAAGCACGTAACATCACTTTCCCATTTAAGCTCAAGCCGATGAAAATTGGGATACGACAACTTTTAATCCTGAATTTGGTTTTCTTTTTTAATTTAGTACCCAAATATTTTCTTTCCACGTTAGAACATATATATTTAGTATTTTTAACGATGTGACACTTTAATATTATATTAAATAATAAATCTCAGAATATCACATCATTAAAATAATAAAAATCTTATTTCAAAAAATAATAATAAAAATCTCAAATTCAAAATTAATATGGACAAAAAATTTGGGGCCTAGTTGGAAAATTGTCAATTTTAGTAATTAAGAGATGGCCAGCGGAGTTCGAAGCGGGGCAGAGATCACGTGCCTTGGGAAACAAAATGGGACCGATTTTCGAAAAACAAGTTTTCCAATTAAATTCGGGTTTTTTTGTTAGGTCGGGTCGGGTTTATGTCTTCCAAGCATGATTCCTTGTAGCAAGTTAATCCCGAGAGTTTTTAGTCAACATAATTAGGTATCGCATTGATTTAATAGGCATACAGACGTGTAAATGAGGGTTTAAAAAGTACATATAGTCATATACAGTATTTAATCGAGATTATTTTATCAATAGATTAAATATGTATACTGTAATCTCTGTTTTGAAGACACACAAGAGGAAGCAGCAGCAGCATATGACATGGCAGCATTGGAGCACCGGGGGGCTAATGCCGTCACCAATTTCGACATCAGCCGTTACATAGAACGTTTGAAGCAGAAAGGGATTTTGTTTCTTGATCAACCGCAAGGACAGAGTCCCGAATCGGCAGAAGCTCGACCGATAGAACCTGAAGAAAAAGAACAACCGCCGCAGGAACAGCAACAACAGCAAGGATTAGAAGAAGCTGTTGATATAACTCAGCTTTTTCAGTACATGCAAACGCAGCTGCCTCTATGTGTTGAAAACGCGACCATGTTCAGAACGGACACGACCGATGGCAACGAGCTAGCATGGAGTTTCTGCATGGATTCAGGGTTGACATCTTTTTCCGCTCCGGATTTCACTCTCGAGAAAGCTGGCAAATCACCAAACCTGTTCGATGATATAGCGTTCAACGATAACATTGACTTGATATTCGACTTGAGGCATGAAGATAACGCAGCCAAGTGGGAATGGCCCGTCGGATGAGGCAAGTTGAAGTAGGATTATATTCGTGTTCATTTGTTTATATTTGAAGGTGTTAATGTTCGATTCGTATTCGTTTAATTTTTCAATATCATGTTCGTGTTCGTTCATTTATTTTCAAAGGTATTCGTATTCGTTCATTTAACGCTCGTGAACGTGTTCGTGAACATGTTCGTTTAGAGTTCGTTTACACGTTCATGAACATGTTCATTTAGCGTTCGCGAATATGCTCGTTTATCGTTCGCGAACATGTTCATTTAACGTTCGTGAACATATTCGTTTGGCGTTCACGAAAATGCTCATTTATATATGTTCAAAATTGGTACTAAATACATAGAAAAAAATAAATTAAAACAGAATCACCTAATAAAACTTATATACTAATCCACAATAACAAAATACAACCTTAAAACATACTAGCAATGTTTAGAAACATCCATGAACATTTCCGCCTTAAAAAATAATTGAAAATAAAATGGAACAACCAAATCATACGAGTAGCAGCTTAGCAAAACGTCATCCGTCACATATCGAACAACACAGTCAAAACAACAAAATAAAATGGCAGGCACAACCAAAATATCCCTCCTAAATCGTTAGTCAATTCACCTGCAGAACCTAAGAAATAAAAACAAACATCAAGAATGGTCAAACAAAATTTGCAGCAACATAGACAATTATAAACATTTAGGGTATAAACAATTAGCAGTAACATAAACATTTAAAGTAAAGAATTGTAAAACGAAATCAGCAGTAACATAAACATTAAGAATAGTAAAACGAAATTAGCAGTAACATAAACATTTAAAGTTAGAGCACATAAGAGAATTATAAACAATTATAAAATGAGTTAGTATAATAATAATTACTAAAGAACTTCAACCCAAGTAATCTTTCTTTCACTGTTAAAAAAATTATCAAGAGATGCAACAAATCCTTGAGTTGAAGATGAAGTTAATTTTAATCCCAATTGAACCGATCTTGACTTCTCACTGTCATTCAATAAGATAATTGATGTTATGTAAATCAAACAATCGAATCAATCTCTACTTAATCATTTGCAAGCATCGCTGAGCAAAGAAATTTTACACTACATTTTACAATCTGTACTTAATCATTCAATAGTCAGAATTCAGAACCTAAAAAAATACATGAAGTAATCCAAAACTAAAAAATTCTAAAAACCTAAAATAAATTTTAGACACTAATAATTCGAATTAAAAATACGTGAAATAATTAGACACTAATCATTCAATGAGAAATTTTACATCACTGAGCAAACTAAAAAAATACGTGTAAGTAGTTAGATTATTATTTTAACCCGATTAGAACCTAAAATAATTCGAACTCAACAGGATTAAAAACTGAAATTTTTGAAAACAATAGCTAATCAGACTCGAACTGAACTAATTCAAAACTAACAAACTCCTCCAATTGAAAGATTAAAGTGTTATTTCAAATATGAATGGATCAAAAATCTAAAAACAAACGAGCTCAAAAAAGAATTTGTTCAACCCTTTGACTATTTACTTGCCCCAATATCAGTTTCCGGTCAAGGCATTAAGGCCAAAACTACTGCTCCAAATATGAATGGATAAAAAATATAAAAACAAATGAGCTTTGGCTTTTCGATTTTTACTATACATACCTAAATTTGTTTCTGTTGAAGACGTGTATCGTTGCAGCAGCTCAAATTCGTACAGTAGTCGACGACCGATTTGAGAGAAACGGGTAAAACACCGACGGTGTACAACACGACCTCACAGAAAGATCCAGGGTTTAATAAATTTCGTGAAAAAAATTAGGGAAAACAGAAAATAAACTTTTTAGAGAAGAGCGGCAGGCTGAAGGGAAAAGAGAGGAGAAAAGAATTTTGGAGTTATAATTAGGAGTAAATGGTAAAACTACACAGTTGGTGCTTAAACTTTTTAGGGTTCATAGTTTATAATTTAAGTTTTATCATGTATTCAATTTAGAATATATTTTCACTAATATTTAAAATGTAAAAAAATTAAACGAGCTTATTCATGAACATAAACGAACGATTTAATAAACGAGCTTGTTCATGAACATAAATGAATCGAACACACATTTGTTCATGTTCGTTCGTTTATTAAACGAATATTAAATTTTATTCATACTCGTTCATTTAACTTCATAAATGAACGTTAATTGAATGGTTTATGAACAATTCACCAAACACTCTGTTCATTTACACCTCAAGTTATAACACTCCTTAACTCGACACAATCACAAATTGAATAAAAAATGTCACATCAAACAATCAGAATTATAACTTCATCGAAATCATAACTGATTGAAACATCCTATCGAACGTTGGCTTAATACAAAAATAAGCGCTTAAAAATGTCTCGAAAAACGTTTGTGTCTAAAGAATTTTTCGTTAAAAATAGGCGTCTAAAGTTTTCTACGTTATATTATTAGGTGCCTACAGTTAAAAAAACATATAAGTGACATGTGTCACGTCTAAATTTTTTTTAAATATATTTTAAAATATTTTTAGCGAAAAATGTAACGGATAAAATTTCAATCACCTATTTTTAACGAAAAATTCTTTAGGTACTAAAAATTAATTTTGAGTATAATTTAGGGACTTATTTTTATATTAAGTCATTAACATTTGAAGGGCTAAGCGTCAACATACCAAACATATAGACTAAATTCTATGACGCACTATTGATCAAATAACATTCGATAGAGAATAAGGTAAACGTTAGGGTAAACAATTTTCAATATTCTTCCAAATTTAAGGGGAAAGGGTTTATTCAGTTGTTCTTCGAAAATTCATTCCTCTTTGGGTGTCTGTCTCAGTAGGAGCTTCAACCCCATCAAAAGCAGCAGAAGATGAATGCCCCAATTATTGGTAAGGCTTCTTCTCTCTTTTCAAAAATTACTTTTTTCTTGTTATTTTCGGCTTTCTAAAATTGGGTTTTATTTGGAGAAGATCCATTGCAAGGAGATTTCCCAGAGGTGATAGAAGAGTATCTGGAGCATGGGGTTATGAAATGCATTGCCTTTAATCGCCGTGGAACCCTTCTCGCTGGTATCTCTCTCTCTCTCCCCCCCCCCTCTGTCATTCTTTTAAAAGAAATTAACTGCTATGTATGTTGAGTATTTTTTTTATTGAAGTGCTATTTTCCCCTTATTCTCAAATGGGTGTGTTTCCTAGCGAATTCAGCTAGTTGGAGTTGCAAATTATATTCTTTTGGTGTTAAAGCTTACTTGGTTTCTATTGTTAACTACAATTTGCAGGAGGGAAAGAAAATCCATCAGTAATTGTTAATAAACATAACACTGTTTTTGAAGAAGAAAAACAGGGAAAATGTGATATCTTTCCCTCGTATATGATTTTGCTCAAACAGTATTTGCTTATGTTCTATATTCTTTCCAAGTTTTCATTTGATTCGGTTTCCTAATTTATGTTTAATTTGATAAGTTTATTTATAGCTGAAATGCGGGATATTTAGTTGGCTGGGGAAAGGATGATGAATTGCGGTTTTTGGTATTTTGAAGTATCACTCTTCTGACCCTTTTTCTGCCGAACCTGCGATTATGCGTTTAAGAAAATCATGCCTGTAATTCTCATGTCGTGTATATGTTTGTGGTTTTTGCGTTTTATGCCAGCTGGTTGCTCTGATGGAAGTTGTGTTATTTGGGATTTTGAGACCAGGGGCATCGCCAAGGAGCTTAGAGATAGAGACTGTACTGCTGCCATAACGAGTATCTGCTGGTCAAAGTATGGTCATCGAATTCTTGTGTCTGCTGCTGACAAGTCGTTGACACTTTGGGATGTAGTCAACGGTGAGAAGATTACTCGTATTGTTCTGCAGCAAACGCCTCTACAAGCTCGTCTACATCCGGGTTCTTCAACGCCATCTGTCTGCTTAGCTTGCCCCCTATCATCTGCGCCAATGATTGTAGACTTAAGTACCGGAGGCACAACTGCACTCCCAGTCACTGTTTCTGATATGGGAAACGTTGCTCCACTCTCTCGCAACAAGTTCCCTGATGGAACCTCTTATACACTGACTGCTGCCTGCTTCAACAAGAATGGAGATCTGGTTTATGTGGGGAACTCGAAAGGTGAAATACTTATAATAGATCAAACAAATGTTAAAGTACTGGCTATGGTTCCAATTTCCGGTGGTGCTATGATAAAAAACATTGTTTTCAGCAGAAATGGACAATATCTCCTTACAAATTCAAATGATAGAATTATCAGGATTTATGAAAATATTCTGCCTTTAAAAGATGGACTTGGAGCTCTTGATGACCTCAATAAGACCATCAAAGAGGAAGATACACTCGAGAAGCTGAAGGTTGTTGGATCCAAATGCTTGATTCTTTTTCGGGAGTTTCAAGATTCAATCACGAAGATCCATTGGAAAGCACCTTGTTTCAGCGGTGACGGTGAGTGGGTAATAGCTGCTTCTGCTATCAAAGGAGAGCATAAGATGTACATATGGGACAGGGCTGGTCATCTTGTAAAAATACTTGAAGGTCCAAAGGAAGCTGTGTTTGATTTAGCGTGGCACCCTGTCCACCCTATAATTGTTTCTGTTTCCTTGACTGGCTTGGTTTACATTTGGGCTAAAGACTACACTGAAAACTGGAGCGCATTTGCTCCTGATTTCAAAGAACTTGAAGAAAATGAGGAGTACGTAGAACGAGAAGACGAGTTTGATCTGGTGCCTGAAACTGAAAAGGTGATGTAAAACAAAGATTGTGCATGAATATTTTGCTCAACTTTTTGTTTCTAAAATGTTCTTTCTGTTGCAGGTGAAAGAATCGGATATAAATGAAGATGATGAAGTTGATATTGTGACAGTGGAGAAGGATCCCTTCAGTGATTCCGACAAGTCACAAGAGGAGTTACGCTTCTTGCCTGTCATTCCTTGTCCCGATGATCCCCGGCAGCAGGGCAAATGCGTGGGAAGTTCATCGAAGTTGATCGATAGTAATCATTCCGAATCCCCTCTCTCAGAAGAGAATGGACAAGCAGCCCACAATGCCTCGAGTCCACTTGAAGGTAAATCTCCCCCCTCAAATGTGATAAATGTTTTAATGTTCTTAGTCCAGATTAACCGGAATAGTATGATGGCTGTATAGAATAGTCGAGTTCATTGGTAGAATAGGTTCTCGAGTAATTGAGTTTAAAATCCAAATGAGTTGTTGGCCAACCTTTCGGGTTACTCTTAAGTTAGCAGTGTCGATGCCAACTTCATAGAAAATAGAATTCCCGACTTTGTGTTTTGATAAGTAATTATGTGTGTGGATTATGCTTAACACTATTATTTGTGTGTTTGTTACAGAGGACACAGGCGGAGGCAATCAGTCGAAAAGAAAACGGAAGCTGTCAGAGAAGGGGTTGGAGTTGCAGGCAGAGAAGGTGCAGAAGCCAATGAAACCCTTGAAATCTTCTGGTAGGTTATCAAAAGCAAAAAATAAATCTGTTGTTGATCAGGATTATGGCAATGGTTTATTTGCGGATGATGGATCTGATGATTACTAGGTTATCATAATTGTCCTTCGAAGGGAAAACTTGTTGATGGACAGCTTAGAGCTATGTATATCAATTTTCCCATTTTAAGAGATTGGCGAATGAGTTTACTATCCGTAGATGCACATATCACCTACACAAATGCTATGGTACACATGGTCAGGGCAACACTTGTTTTTGCTATGGTGGACATCAATACCTTAACACCAGCAGGCTGTTTGTCTTATAATCACATTTTAACAAATTTTGTACTTTTAGTATTTCTTTTCAAAAATTATACAATATTTTTTATTAATCCCAAGAATGAAGCTCTGGAGCAGAATCTCGACCCCGAATTCAACCGCTTCTTGCTCGAACCTGACAATCTCCACTCCCACCTGACTGTCTTGCTTTACCACATTGTGGCATCTACCACTTCCTAATTTTTTGGTAAAATGTTGCACGAATTCCATCGATCCCAGGTGATTTTAATGGAGGCATATCGAAGAACACAGCTCGCACCTCCTCATCTGATAGGGGCATGGCTAGTCTGTCCAACTTACCTTGCGATACACAAGGGAAAAGTCCTCGAGCATGGAAAAGTCTAGTATTCTGGTCACCCAAAGAGCCTAGTTCAAACCTGTTTTTCTTCGTCATAAGCTTTCTTCCTGATCTAAAACCACTTCTAAATATGTCCGAAGTCTAGTTTCAAGCTCACATAAGAAATCAGAGTGATAACTTTGTAACACTCTCAATATCGCTAATCCTGGCTATCAATAACCTTTTATTGTTTCATTTTTAATCCCTGTAGTAAACTTTTGCAAGTTTTTGACAAGATCTTTTTCCTCACGCCACATTGATTGCAAGAAATCGTGGAATTGCAGATGTTCGTTCCAGGCTGCAATGTATCGGAACGGGCGGTTTCGACCAATATTGAGCTCAACATCATGCTGAAGGAGAATCAGTCGATGGTCTGGTCCCATGCGATCGAGGTGCCAAACATGAAAGTTGGGGTATAAAATGCAAAATTTTCCTTTAGCTAAGTAATCTTGATTAGGTATACGACAGTCCTTGGTAACCCATATTGACGAAACCGTTTTAGAAAAGGGAGCGGTCTCGTTTCAAAATAATTTGATGAACGGTTAAAGATAAAATGTGGTTCGAGAAGTCGCCACTAATCTTTTATTGGGGTGTGATTATATATTTTTAAAAATTGAGCGATTTCTCTATGATGATCCCAACTTATATACTGATATATTTTTAAAAATTGTCATCACAGGATACTTTTCTTGTGCAAAGAACCAACATGGAACGTGAGAATCCCAGTAATCACACTGAGGAAGGTGGATTTGCTGAACTTGAGGAAATTTTGAAGCGCAAGACATTTACCAGACAAGATGATCTTTAATTGCATTCAATTGATGTCAAGCTGAAATGCATGGTTAATTGTGCAACTTTGTTTTAAGATACCTTTGCTAAATCAAGTTGGTGGCATTTACTCTGATAATTTGTAGTTTTTGATTGCATGCTCTTGTGCATAAGGATCCTGGAATTTCCTTCTCTCAGATTCCTTCACATGGAAGAAAAGCTGAGAATTTGAATCCGATTATATCTTTTCATGCATATGCTTATTCTAGTTATTCTTGCAACCTTCTGCTGTACTACCTTATTTCCAATCCACACACGCTGGTGTCATGCTCTGTGATTTTCTTTCATGTTTCCGCTTTGATGGGAATAAACTTTACCTGCCTTATTTTGGTGGGCTTATCATATTTCTTTATTTTTGACTAGTAATTCTTTCAACATGTATTTTCTTAGTTCCATAATGATTATTATTAGTCTTTTGCAGATCTGAAATTGATCATTTGACGAGTTTACTACATTCAAGAACTGTTGATTTTCCTGGTGGAAATGAAGAAATTGTGTCTAATGGGAAAACAGTTGTACAATATGGCAAGAAAGAAAAGTTTCCAGAGACCCCAGTTAGAGAAAATGGTACTGAGAACCATCTTATTTCCACACCTATTGTCAACTCAACTGTAAGTAGTTCTCTTTCCTTCATTTTGCTTTTGGGTAAAATATCCTTTAGTGTCTTTTTCTAAGTTTATTATTTTAAATTAAAAGATGGAAATAAAAAACTTCGATGGTGTTACAGGTCCTTGACTGCTGAGCTTGCAAAAGCTTACATGGGCAGTAGGCCTCAATATGTATCTGTGTCTATGCTTAGATTACACAAGCAAGTGCCTAAAGCAGATTCAGCTTTGCTTAACAATAAAAGTTTCCCTTCTAAGTCACCCATAAGGTCTTTTGTGCCAAGATCAGGCCATGTTGGGAGTCCTGGAAATGGTTTTGCGACCCCAAGATCATGGGGCAGGTCTGCAATATATAGCATGGCACGAACACCTTATTCCAGGTTAACTCAGCACTTGTCCTCAAGGTTCAACACTCAACAATCAGTTTCTCTTTCATAATTTCTTATTGTATTTCTTATTATAGTTGTTAACACCTTCCCAAGGGTGCTGGCACTTCAAGTGGTGCTTCTGGTGGACCATTATCATCGTCTCAAAGTGTATGGAAGCAAAATAGAATATCTGGCAGTTTCGTGTTTGGGTCATGAGCATCTGTAGCTAAACCTTTTGGTTCAGAGGCCACTTTTGGAATGAATTCTTCCTCTTCAGAAACAAATTCTTTGAGTTCTGGCAGTGGCATTGCTTCTGGCACATTTGGTTTCAGTTGGCAAGCCCCTAAGTCGCCCATATTTGGTTCATCATCATCGGGATTTTCCTTTGGATCATTGGCTTCTGTTACTGCCCCCAGCAGTGCACCTAGCCTCTTTGGGTCATCCACTGGTGCCTCCTCAAACTCCTCATTTTCTTTCACTTCAGCTGCAGTTGCTACTCCATCACAGCCTGTGTTTGGTAACTCCAGTCCAGGCGTGGTGTTTGGGTCAGCCCCAGCTGTATGTGCTACCCCATTGCAGTCTGTGTTTGGTATCTCCAGTCCCAGCTTGGTGTTTGGATCAACCCCATCCAGGAGTAATGATCAAATGGAGGATACGATGGCAGAGAACACTGTTCAGGCTTCACCGGCTGTTTCGACATTTGGTCAACCGCCATCTGGGTCTCCTTTCAGTGCATCAAACCCAGGAGGATCGACGTTTCAATTTGGAGCCCAACCAACCACACCTCATAATCCATCACCATTTCAGGCTTCTAGCAATCAGGAGTTAGGTGCCGGAGGGAGCTTCTCATTGGGGTCTGGTGGTAGTGACAAGTCCGCCAGAAGATTTGTGAAGGCCCGCAGGCAGCGGAAGAAGTAAAAAGGCACACGATGATCGTTGCTATGAGTTGTAACCATGTGAACTGCTGGCAGGATTGTTAAGGCAGTCTAGAACTTCGACTGCTCTGAGTATGCGTAAGCATATACAGTTTTCCAGTGTTTTGTTAGGGTTGTGGCAGAATCTGTCACCATTTTATATGGTGTTCCGAGTGAGCAGTACATTTGTACCAAGTTTTAATTAGGCGATATGAGAGCTTTTTCAGGTTTCAGCAATTGTGAATTGCTGTGTACCCTCATCTTTATTGTAAACATAAAAACGAGGGTACTATGCTTATGAATTTCATTTTTAGATCCCTCCACTTTCTTAATTGGCCCCAACTGTTTATTTCTTCCACTGTAATTTGGATAACTTTGTGTTTTTTAAACTAATTTAGTACTTGAACTTGCTAATTTTTTTATTTTACAAATGTGCTACTTTTACTGGTATTTATAGTTTTTGTACTGGTATTTGTCAAACATCAAACAACATAATTATACTAAATGTTTTAAATTATAACATGAAATTCACAATATACTTTTAAATATTAATTAATATATATACCAAAATATAATAATTTTTTAATTAAAATATTAATGTAACCAAATCAAAAAACGGAAAGCTAATGGAATAGGGTAACACACCCTCACAGGATCAAAGCAAATTATGACCGTTACTCACTCATTAACCCCATCTATATCTATGTCCCACGTGGAACAATCTTACGGCTGCAGTTGACCTTCCAGAGCATCGGATTCCAGTTTCCGAAATTTTAAAAATATATTCTAGCCGTTGGAAACTGGGGCCCCTTCTTGAAGCTTGTGTGTTTTGTTAGATTGATTGGAACACCAAAATCATCGATTTAGGTTGCCTTTTGTCAGGTAAATTGAGCATCTGGATCTTTTCTGGAGTGGAAAAATCAAAAAGGAAGAAGAATGAAGAGTGTGAAAGGAAAGCTCTTGAAGAAGCTTAAATCAATCAAACCAGTTGGTTACCTAAAGCCAGATCGTGTTCTTCAAGTGTTAGCAATAGATGGGTTTATGGATTCTTTCCCAAAATCATCGATTCCCGATGAACAACCCAAGTTGTTCACCAAACCATCAGTATCAGAGCAAGAAAACATCAAACAGAGCTCTGCAAGTGCTGTCGAGAATCAGCCTGAAGTCATTGATGTAACGGAGCTGATGAAAGATCTTGAAACCGACGACGATGATGAAGAAGAAGAAGCAGCAGAAATGGATTTGAATGAAGAGGTTGACGATAAAGAGAATATTACGCCACATGCTGAGAAAGAGAATGCGAATGTGAATTGTAGGCAGAGTACTCCCGCCCCGTTATCGGAGATCGACGTGTCGTGTTTTCGGAAGCCGGATTTGAATTCTTGTACCCTCTTCGACCCTAACCTACTGGCTGCATTTGAACAAGCCGTAAAGGAGCATATGAAGATGAATGAAGAAGAGAGGAGAGCAAGAATAGAGGAGGAGAATGTACTCGAGAAGAAGACAATAACCCTGGAAGACAACGATGAAAGCAGTAGAAAAGAAGCGGAGAAAAAGGCAAGAATCGATGACGATGATGCAGATGCCGATCCTCTATTACGATTCGAAGAGAAGTGTCCGCCCGGAAGCGACGGTTCCGTCATCCTGTACACGACAACTCTGAAAGGAATACGAAAGACCTTCGAGGACTGCAACAGCTTGCGGTTCCTGCTGGAGAGTTTCAGAGTGATATTCTACGAAAGAGACGTATCGATGCACGAGGAATACAGGGAGGAATTATGGAGGGTTTTGGGCGGAAAGGTGATGCCTCCGAGGTTGTTCATTAAAGGTAGATACATCGGCGGAGCCGACCAAGTTCTTACGTTGCATGAGCAAGGCAAGTTTAAGGTGCTCTTCAATGGCATACCTTTGGATACTCGTAACGGCTCTTGTGAAGGATGTGGTGGTGTTCGGTTTCTGCTTTGTTTCGCCTGCAATGGCAGTCATAAGATCATTTCCGATGATGGTTTGTCCTGTAAATGCACGCAGTGCAATGAGAATGGTCTGATTGTTTGCCCTCTTTGCTGCTGAATTTTTGTTTTGGGAGGTGTTATTTGTAAAACATTGTTTCTCCGATTCCTTAATTTGTTGTCTTTGAACATTGATGTAAAATTAAATCATAAATATATACTTATTTAAATTGTAGTTGTCATCGTGTTTTCGATTCTGTTACATTTATTACTATTGTATTAGAAATAGTTATTGCGGCAATTGTAAGTACGATTGTGGAGTAACAACAAAGACTAAAATGATTATTCATATTTTTAAGTGATTGAAAAAGAGACTAAAAATGATTAGGAAGTGTGACTATAAAAGGATTTTTCTATTTAAAAAAAGTAATTTGAGATTATTTTTAGATTGATTTGAAATTTAACTTAACGAAAGAGATGGTCAAAAGCTAGTTTGACAAATAAATGAATTTAATTTTTGAATTTTGATTATTTGAAGTCAAAGAAAAAAAATAGGTCACCTAAAAGTTGTTAAAATTTCAATATTGAGCATAGAAATACAACTTGAGCAACAAGGGGGCATATACTACTGCCTTGCCTCTTACTGTATGTTCCGGATGCATACATACAAGTATATATATTGTTTATATTATAAATCAATGGAGATGAGCTAAATATACTGATAACCCTCATATTAGTTCATTGTCTTTCAACTTTGTCCTCCTTTGGAGCATTCATCAAGTCCAAAGAGGCTCCCAAAGCGAGCCTAAGTAGTTGTGGTGGTCGTCTTCCATAAAGCTTGGGTGGGTTACGGAAGCGTCAACATGGGATTGCTGGGAATTGGGTTGAGGAGAGGAGTGTCCCATCTCCACCTGCAATTGCATGTTGACCACTTCAGCTTGAGCTCTGGCCAACTGTGCTTGCAGCTCATCCACTTGCTTTTGCAACTGGCAAATCGTCCCCGCACACCCATAGACCGGGTCACGGATCCTTGCGCTTGCCTCATAAACCATGCTGCTCACCGCATCCGACCTTTGACCCTCTGGAAGTTCCTGATAAACACACGAATGATTTACAAACTTTGATGTTACCTGTACCTTTAACAGCTAAAAGAAATATCTATCTGTCCATCATACCCAAAAGTAAAACAAATACATATGGTGTATAATTCTATTCATACGAGGGAATGTTAACTTGCAGGAGGAGACGATAAGTAAAGCACCTGCACGAACTTGATGATGTTGCTAGCCCCAAAGACACGATGAGCAATGGCGAACTTCGCTGGTTCGGTAGGAGGAAAATAAGGTGCCAATACACATTTATCGGCACACCTTCTCCTTAAAATCTTGCAAGCGGCACAAGGGCTAATAACCACCATCGGCTGAGGAGGGGGAGAAGGAGATTGAGAATAACATGTAGTGTTAGTAGTAAGATGAGAAATAGGAGTTGGATCGATGCATCCCATCCTAGAAATGAGATGAAAAGAGTTGAGTTGGCTATATTTATACTGCTAATGAAGCAAAAATTTGGTAGGCCATGTGGTATGAAAACATGACATCATGGATTACAGTATGAGATATGATTATAATATAAAAATCTAAGTGAAAAAATTATTAGATGGACCTGACTCACTACGTCATTTGTGGTCTTAACTAATTAGATTTGTCCACGTTATTTTTTTTAAGATGAATTTTCATATATTTTCTACATGTAAAATAAGAGTATGTAGTTATTTAAAAGTTACCTTTAAGATGGATGTACCTTATTAGTTGGGATTACGAATGACGTGGTGAACCTCATTCATCAAATAATTTCTCATCTAAGTGGGGCACGTACGTAACTACTTGTTGATGGCCTAGCCTTTCCCCAGAGACCACGTAGCCTAATGAGTCGCGGTTGTATCGGCAAAGTTATTGGGCTTGCTTGCCTTGCTTCTGCCAGCTCTCCCTATCGTTAATGACAACGACACAAGATCATTATAATTAAACAAATACTTGTTAAATACAAATTCGTTCAATTCAACTCGAATTTATACACGTTTTATCTAAAATCCGACGTGCATGAACCCTTATTTGGGCAAATCATACATTTAGTATCTAAACTATAATTTTTGTTTCACTTTGATACTCAAATTTTATTCTTTCAAAATTATACGTAACGTTTGATTTAGGTTTCAGAATTGTGCATATATAAAGTTAAAACAAAATAAAATTTGAGTACCAAGATGGCACTAAAACAATAGTTTATGTACTAAATATTTAGTTTATCCTAAAAACAATGATAGCTGTCTTTAAAAATATGATAATTTGAATTTTGGTACGAGAAATATTTTGTTTTACTTATGCTTTTATTAAAGTCAAGATGATAAGATATATTAATTGGTTGAGTAATTAAGGATGTTCACGATATCTTCTCATCTTATGCGAGTTCAAAGAGTAAAGGATCAATCTTTTCCTTGTTTGGGTATTATTTATATATCCATCTTGTTTTGCAAGTTAAGACTACTTTTAGACAAGATGATGCAGAGCTTGAATGAAATTGTTGATATATTCTTCATGAAGATAACTGCTACAAAGTGTTTGCGTAAGCTTGACATGGTTTGCCCTCAACATCTTAGCAGATTCATTGTCCTTGTCCATTACCAACTTGATGGCTTCATTCAATGACTCCTTTGAGACCCGTCTGTTTTTACCTCTCTCAACTTCACCACCGATCTTGAGTTCATTCACCGTCCACCTTTTGTTCAGGATTTGATCTGGAATTTGAGGAATCAACATGACCAGACAGTCACTAAGCAAAACTCCCACATCGATCCATACCCACAGTGGTTGACGAAACACCCGATGTTAGGGTGGTGCAACAACAGCTGTTGTGGAACCCAATAACCATGAACCAACCCTCTTCCTTCAACCCTCTCTACAAACCCCTCAGGAAGTGCTGCTTCAACAGTCGAGCATCCTTTGGGTGGCTTTAAAGCTACCAAAAACGGCAGCCCACATGACTCGAACCCCAGAACCAACTCCTGGAACTCATCTCTCTGCAACTCACTCTTGCTTCCGAATGCGCAAAACACCACAGACCCTAGCTCGAACTGGCTTAGCCAACAAACCCATTTCTCATCGAATCGTTGGATCTTTGTTTCAGGCAAACAAGGCCCCGATAACAAGACAGGCTTCCCAGATTCTTGAGTGATGTAGTCAAGAAATTGTCCCTCGAGTTCACGGTAAGTCCTGAAGGCAAGAGCGTCACTTTCAACCGAACTTCACCTCATCCGTTCTCCACATGACAGTCCACTCCCGAAATCCTCAGTGACAAACGACAATAAAGGAAGCTCTTCAGCTTTGAATCTCACAGTGGAAGAAGGGCTAAGCGCCTCTTCTACCGTCATTTCCTTGGTTATTTCCTTAGGGCTAAACGCACTCCCCATCCCCATTGAGCAAGCCACTGCATAGAATATGGGGATGATCCCGAGTTGGCGAACCAAGTCAGGGATCCAAAACCAGAAATCATAAAAAAAACACGCTAGGTTTCAGAACCTAGAAGATGGATTCAACTTTATCTTTGGTTTGGTCAACGGAAAAAGCAAGGTGCTTTTGTTGGTTCATGGGAACAACAGATGTTGTTTCAGCACCTGGAGGGAGGCCATCCACTTGAGGGACAAGGAGAGGGAATAATTGAATCAGGCTGGGGAATCGGTTCATGTTTTCAAGCTTCGGCTGAACTCCTTTAGGCAAAAGGAAGGATATTTTATGGCCCTTTTGAGCAAGCTTATTTGAGAGATTAAGGAAGGGGATGAAGTGACCATAGGCAACCCATGGAAACATGGCCACGTGAATCTTTGGAAAAATCAGACTTGCTCATCTTTTTTGCTGATACAATGGGTGATACGAGGCTAATCTGGTTGGCCTAAATTATAAACCCCAAGTTCTAGATTGCACAACAAATGCCATTTATATAAAGGGTAAAAAACACAAATGGTCCTCAACTATAAGGGTACTGCTTTGTTGAATCTATTGAATATTAAAAGTTACAAATTTATCCTTCTACTATAGGGAGCTATTTTGTTGAGTTCATCGACTATTAAAAGTTATAAAATAATTATCTATTCATATATTCTAAACTCATCTTTTTCCGCTAAAAAATTAGCAATCTCTGAGTTGAACGTTAACTTGTTGATTGAGATATGATAAAATATGATCTTAAGATTGTTTGAGTTGTACTTTGTAGATCAAATATTTGTTTATATTATATCGTCGAGCCAGTGTTTTAAATATTATGTCATCGAGTCAGTGCTTAAAAGCAACGGTGGTGGCAATAAACATCATTAAAATATGATTATATCAAATCTCAATCAGTAGGTTAACGTCTAGACGACTATCAATTTTTTAATAGAAAAGGACGAATTTGAAATATATGAATAGTTGGGTGACCATTTTATAACTTTTAATAGTCAGATAACTTAACAAAACAATGTTATAATGTCATATAGTCGAGAGATATTTTTATAACTTTTAATATTTGAAGTACTCAGCAAAATATCACCCTATGACTAGGGACTATTTATGTACTTTACCTTATACATATTAGTTAATTAATAAATTAAATATTAATAAAAATTAAATTATAAAAATTAAATTTAATATAATAAAATGTCCTCGTTAAATTAAAAATTTTATAAACATGATTAAGTAAAAAATTAGTGATTAAAATTAAAAATTAATTAAATAATAATGTCTTTATTTTATTTATAAAATCATAAATGATATATTAAATCAATAATTTATTATTATTATTATTATTATTATTATTATTATTATTAAACTGCCAAAAACATCTTTCATAACTTAATTTATTATAAATTTTTTTATTTATCAATCTAGGATAACTTTGTCAATGATAAATTGGTATCTTTTTAAACACTAAAGTCACTTGATAGGTTCATAAATTAGTTTTTATAAAGAAAAATATCTAAATCCATTCTTAATCTTACCTAGAAGGGAGGGAAAATAGGACTTTAAGGGGAAGAAGGGAAATATTCCTTGTGGATCTAGAACCCATGGTCTAAATTAGTGTTTTTTGAATTAATGTATTGATAAATTGCTTAATTAATGAGTGACATCAAAGTTCATTATAACTTTAATTATAGGAATAAAAACCTTAAGTATTAATGAACCAAATTGAAATCTGTTGTTTACACACCTAAAGCCTTCGAGTGAAGTGAATTTGAACCACCCAAATTTTGGGGCCCAAATGTATTATTCTTTTATACACGAGCCACAAAATTATTTTTTACTCTTCATTAAATTTCTCTTGGTGAGGTTGGTTAACAGTGAGTTGAATGGTAAAGAGTATTACCATGGTCTATTTGTCTCCCACTCTCAAAGCACAATGCAAACGCATATAGTGGAAGAAATTTTGTTGAATTTTAATCCAAATGTCAAAACTGAGCAGTGCATGCAAGATTGTGGGACTGATGTAAGCAAGATGCCAATGCATTATCTTGCTGAATTTCAAATTGGGTTTTGTCCATTTTCACTTAAATTTTGACTAAACAATCCATTCAAAAAATCAAATTTAAAGATCCATAAAGTTTTTTTTCTAAATGTAAAAATAAAACATTTTTCTTGTCTGCCATTTATAATCAGCCTATTTCAAGAAACTACAAAACCCCCAAACTGGAAATCAGTCTCCTGCATCAGTCACACCAGGGCTGTCCATTTCATAATCTTTTTTGCATAGAATAAGATATGTTGGCAAGAACATACGAGTAACAGGAAAAGCTTTTCCTAGAGCAAGGGAGAAAACAATATTCTAAATTAGACCTTACTTTGTTTGATTCTGAAACCCTCTCTGATCTTCTCGGCTTTGTTCAGGGTTCCATCTCGTTATCGTCCGTTCTTCGACAGTGTAGTGCTCTAAACATGAAGGAGAGTTCGCACCGAGGCCATAACTATTCACGATAACAATCAATAATGTTTTTGCAACACTTCCACAAAGGCGAACTGTACAATGAACATCTGACCACACTCTCAATCGACCATTTAGATCATTATCTCCTTCTGGTAGTGCCAGCACCGCATACTCAGAATGGACAAGACCCGGGTGGTGACGGTAGGCAACAAAGTCCACACCATACTGCAATCCTAATCTTACAACCCAATTTTTATGCCGAAGATGAGAATAAGCTTTGTAATGAATAGGAAACACAGGCTTTTTTGATTTGAAGTACTCCCACAGCTCTTCATTGCCTTTTAATGATCCGTCTTCACCGATGACTTTGAGGCATTTGAGTGAAAAGCACAAAAAAAGTTTCCTCCATATCCAGTTGAAACCATTGTTTGTCCTTTTGTGCTGTAATTCTGGGTCGACCAAAACATGCACGGTTGAGAAGATCAGCTAATTCAGCATCCACTTCAATGAGTACACTGCAGCTCGAGAGCAAACCACAAGTCTTGGTTTGGATCAAAGAGGAATGGAGTTGTGAGACAATTCTAGACATGGGATCAACACTAGTTTTGGCTTCTGAGCCTTTTCCTTTCCATCTAGGCTCATTTAGTCCTTCAATATATATAACAAAAACATAAAATGATTAGGATTCATGCTCACTTGAACATTTTTTCCTTTTTGATTATAGGAAATTTTGGACTCTCTGAACTAAATAAGAAAGTAATTCTCTCCAATATTGCTCTAACTCCTTAATTCTTCTTGAAGTTCTTGTGTCCAATGCATATCTAGAATGGATACATGGATATGAATGAACCTTGAAATACGTAGATAAACTTACAAGTGCTGAAAGGAGAGACTAAAGAATTATATATTCCTGTAAATAGTGATCAGTGACTTCTCTTGTTATGATAACCTTTAATATCAACAGCAGCATCAGTCAATGAACTCTAAAAAATCTTTATTCGTATATTTTATATTCGTATTTAATTGACGAATCTAGTGTTATAGCTACTCTTAAGAATCTCTCTGATCTCAGCACCCACATTTACATTCCTCTCAGTAGTATTTTTCCCTTCGTCAAAACATTAAGTGATTAATGTTTGAACTTAGGTAGCCCCTGCATTTTTTGTGTTTAAGCTCTTAACTTGTCACAGCTCAAAGGGATGCGATTTATGTCGATCAGTCATTACAAGGTAAGTGTTTTTCCAGTTGATGTGTTATATTTCTCTTATTCACTTGTGTTCATTTAAAAACCAGAAGAAATCAAGCCAAACACAGATATAAGTTCCAGTTCCATAAACGACGAAGAAAAAGTTCACATCTATGAAAAACATACCTGATTTTTCAGTGAAAGATGGATAACTCCTGAGATTTTGAATGGGTTTAACTGCTGCAACTCAAGTGAACTCAAATCTGCGTGCATTGGGAAATAGTTTCATCTCAATTAGTCCCACGAACCCATAATTAAAACACATTAATAACGCAATACAGCTTAAACACAGAGGTTCTAATGAGCTTCTGATTTTCTAATCTTCCACAAGTTTGACTTGGTCTTAGTAAACAAAAAACCACAGCGAACGACAGTACAACGAATAAAATCTTAACATTGAACACTAAACTTGAAATTAAATATAAAAGAAGGTACCGCCAAGATCTCAATGGATGAGCCTGTGCTTATGATGTGACAAAGATGAATTTTTGAAGGGACATAGACAGAAGTGGTAAAAGAAGAAACCGGGGTACAAGACATTGCTTTTGGGTTCCTATTAGAACAGATTGAAAAGGTTTCAGTGTTTAGAGTTTGATTTGGGTTTCAAATCTCTATCCATAGTTGATTCCATTGCAGTCGAGTCATGGATGAGTTTTTGGAGTTCTTTAAAAGGGAAAGAAAAAACAAACAGACAGCCGCAGAGAAGATGAACGGAAAATATAAATTTACCGGAGATACTGTCATCGGTGAGATACTGTTTCTGGGTATTTATATGCATTGAAGTAAAAATCAGATTATCTCTTATCGAATTGAAAAAACCCTAATTTAATTCAACTTATCGAATTGAAAGAACATAAATAGTTCACCAACTATATGATTTTATTTTATTGTGTCCTCTAACTATTATAAGTTATAAAGTGGTCCTCTAACTATAAGATATTTTTATAAGTCCCTTGACTATTAAAAGTTATAAAATAGACACCCGACTATTCAATATATTCCAAACCCGTCTTTTTCTGTTAAAAAAATGATGGAAATTTGAGTTGGATGTTAACCTTCTAATTGTGATATGATATAATATGGTCCTAGAATCTAAAACAATTATCATATCTCAGTCAGCAGGTTAACGTTCTACTCAAACTATGATTAATTTTTTAACGAAAAATGACGAGCTTAGAACACAATGAATAGTTGGTTGACCATTTTGTAACTTTTAATAGAAAGGAACTTTAAAAAACAATGTCTTATAATCAGAGACAATTTTGTAACTTTTAATA